GCTTCCAATGAGATGGGCGGTGACAAATTTGATATATAAATAAATATATGTAAATACTGAGTAGGCAGTGGGAGCTTCCCTTTCTTCCCCAAATTTTCTTTTTGGTCATATCTATAGATTCAGAAGAGTAAATTGCAAATGTTTGGGCCATTTTGGCTGTGAATTTTGGCAGCTGTAATCCCAATACATTTGGAAGACTTCTGGTTGAGGGAGAAAGTTGAAATGGACTCAATGACCCCTTCCAAGAGTTTGATTCTGTGCAAATATTTGGCCCTGCCGTGGCATAAAGGCTTACTCCTGATTCAGAATAAATTGCAGAATCTGTGTCCTGGTAATGAGAGAGGCAAACATTTCTGAGGTTTGTGCCAGAATGAGATTATGTTAAAGTCGATTGCTTTGGGCAAACCTCCAGATCCTTTATCACATAGGGATAAGTGTCAGATGAGCTTGGCAGCAGATTCTCCAGAGACTGGGATGAACATAGGTAGAAATTATATTTTTATTGCATATCAGGAATGGTTGCTATAACAGACAGTTGACAGCTTCTGAGCATATGGAAGCTTTAATTCAGAATTTGTACTTGTTCAGATTTCAAACATTTCACACTTTTCTGCAGCACTGCCCTCAATACGGAGCAATCCTAGATTTCCTCTTGCTCTGAGTCCTGAAAATGTCCATCCCATTCTATTTAGGCTGAATGCTCTCCAAATGAATTGAACTGATTGAACCCCATAGGGCCTTTCATGTTGGCTCAAAGTAAGAGGCAGTCCTGATCCTTGTATGCAAAGGAAACATTGCATGGAGTTTTCCTTATGCTGGAGAAAATTAAGAAGCCACCTTCAGCAAAAACTCAGCATGAGCAGATGGACCCATGCATTGAGGCAGTCACATCTGGTCTTTCTTGCATGTGTAAGCATTGCAGATTTTTGTCTTTCTGCAAACATCATACCTTGGAAACACTGCCAGTGGCTTGATATATAGGAATGATCAGTTTTGCAAACCAAAGTGATAAGCTCATTTTGTTTTTTTCTCCTGAACCACGATGGGAATCTTGTACCTATAGGGTGAATTATAAGAGATCAGTTCTTTGTTTCAGCATGCAAGTAATCATTACCTTTTTAAAACTAGTCTTCATTTAGCTTGGCTTGGTCAAACCAAAACTGGGAAAAATCATCTAGTTAATGATAATAACTACAGCTCTACTCACACATGGAACAAATGCATGCCTCAATTTTGTCAATTTGAGACATTTTAATATGAAAATGCTATAGGTCGGGGAGCTAGTAATCTTTCAGTGTATGTGGATTATATCACTACAGCACTACTGAGTGGTCATTCAACACCATTATAAGTAAATAAGGCCAATATTTTATATACCATTTCTGTTTGACTGCCACTAAATCTTGTTGGCACAATTTCTGGGTGTGTTTATGTCATGGGATGTTAAGTTTTAAACAAGATCCAGGGCTGCATGCTGATTGAGGACTGACCACCTTGTCTTAACTAAAATAAACCATAAACTTCCTAATTTATTTTGGATAACCTAAGAAATATGTTAAATATTCAGCATATGCATCAG